TATATATATACATATATATATATAATATGATATTTTGAAATAAAAGCCTATCTCTTCAAGAAACTCAACAGTACCACACTTTGCTGCAGCTGCTGTAATATTACTTTTTTCTTTTTTGTAATGGTCTGGAAGATTCCTACCTGTTTCAGAGAGCAAAGTGGCAGTGAAGAGGCCAAGCAAACCCACTGCGGTACAAGGACGTCTAAGAGCTACACGAATCCTACCCATGTGGCATCCAGAGCTTCCTGTTCCCTTCGACAGAATTTCAAGGGCATTTGTTGTTCCACTTTGTGTTCTGGAGGCTTTTCCCCTTGTACAATACTAGCATGCTGGCTTTGCATCATGAACCATCCTCAACTGACATGTAACAATGATCATTCTATCCTCTTCCGAGCAAATATTTTTAGAGCTGTTAGATATTCCGTGAAGAAGAGATGGACAACTCCTGAGTGAAGTACAGTATGTATTAAAAGTTGATTTGGCAGAGTTTGGTAGACTGTGAGCTCCCTTATTAAAGATGTACTGTATATACCTTGCATTCAGACTTTGTATAGCTGGCAGAGACTACAGTAAAATCCCGGTAATCAACTCCAAAGCTTTGCCTTGGTGGCTCACAAGTTCTTTGCTCAATGACAAAGCTGTTTCTTTCCAGCCCAACATATGAGAGGGCTTTTACATACAGTTGGGTTTGTTTTGTTGGATTTTTTTATGGGCCCATTTGCAATTGGTGAACAAGCCTATTTCAGCTTAAGGAACACCTTTGGGCAGCTGGAATGCTCAGGCACAGCTGCACATGAGGGAATGCCTGGCTCTGGGCTCTATTCCACAGCACACAAGGGAGAACCACCCAAATTTAAGCTCTCCTCCTTGCAGGCCAAGCTAACTCTCATCAAAAGCATTTGGCACCAGCTAAAAGCATTTGCGTGGCAAATCCCACAGCACAGCAAACACACCAGTTTGTGGTCAGCAAACTGTGCCTGAGCCCCATTTGCATTTCAGGAATAATTTCTTCCATTTTAATTTTAATCTGTTTCTTACTGAGGTGAATTCAGTTGAGCCGAGATGCTCCTCAGCAAAGATACATGCACTGAGGCATCTCTCTCCCTGCCAGCAGTTTGAGGGCACATTTCTAGCTGAGCTGTTGCTGTTCCCTGTGCAGCCAGGCCCTTGCACTGCTAAAGACAGATCTGATCTGAGGGCTGAAGTGTGAAAGCCCAGGTCACATTCCCAGATGCTTTTTGTGAGCAGCCCAATTAAATTCAAGCGGTTTATTCATGTAGAAAAGTATCTTGCTGCCAGTCATATGTCTGCACAATCCACCCTCTTCTACAACGAATGCTACTGAATCAAGGTGGGATAGGGAACTGTAAAACTTGTTCTGTGCCACCCAGCTTCATTTCTTTAATATTTCCAGTTTCCTTTCAGGCTGTTGGCCTGTCCCTCACAGGATCCCTCCGGCCATGCTGATCACGTTTAATCCAATGTGCTGCACTTCCTGACCAAGAGTTGATCAAAATTCTCCCACTAACTTTCTTTCTCCTTCAGGGCAACCACTTCAATCCCTGATGCTTCAAGAGGCAGAAATTTGTCAACGTAATTACACCGTGGGGTAAAGCAGCTACACAACATGTCATGCCATGCTCTATGCAGGCTTTCTGTGCTGGTCCCTGCCTGATGCTCACAGGGGAAGAGGACTTGTGTTTCCACATACTTCTATTATTTCCCCTTCAAAAAGATATGAGAGTCAAAAGTACACAGGGAAGAACCTTGTTTTTCTTCTATGCAAGGGAAGACTAAACAAGAGCATGAACCTCACCACCAGTCGTAAGCCCTAGGACATGGAGACCAGCATCACAGGTGGCTCAGCTGGACAGGTCATGTATTTCCTGGCCACAGCCACCTGCCTAAACCAGACAGCAGTACCTAGTCTATGTTTAAGTTATGATCTGCCATGGCCACATATCCCTAGTCCAACCATTTCAATTTGGAGAGGACCACTGCCTGCCTGGTTACCCACAGATAGGTGTGGTCCCAGCATGAGATCATCAGACCAGCTCCAGTAAGGAGCTCTCACAAATAAGGAGAAATTTCTTCAAAATAAATCATCAACATTTCTCAGTTTTACTAGAACAGTACCTCAAAAAACACAGGACCCTCTAAATCTGGGAATGTCTTGGTACTCTAAGAGATAGATTCTGCCACCAGGAGATAAGTAGATTAAAAGCCAAGATACATTGTCATCCCTTTAACAATGGGAACTGAGGCACACAAAGCTAAATGGCCACTCAAAACCACATTGGAGGGCTGTGAAAAATCAAGCAGAAATTAAACTTCAGTTTCCTTATTCCCAGTCTGCTGATAACCTGTAAAATGACCCCACACACACAGCAAACTAACCCATGGTTTCTTGTACCCTTTGCCAACACCCAAAGTATCACCCTGGAGAGGTACTTACCCCCCAGCAGTGTCAGATATGGAACAGACTGGCAGTAGATAGCACTGCTTATGCCTGTGTCTATGAAATATGCCTGTTGAAATGGGGAAATATTACACTTGCTAAAATATAAGAAGGAAATGTTGTCATTACTACAGGAAAGTTTCTTCGAGACGTTTATGATTTTTTTTCTCTTTGCCAGTAGGCAGCCTCAAATATCACTCCACCAAATTCAGTAAACATCTGTGCCTCTTTGAAGCTGCTGCAAAAATCTGCTCGTGAAGAGCAGCACTGAGGATTTGCTGTTTTAATTAAAATGTTTTAGAGGAGAATTAAGGCCTTTGCAAAAATAATGACTGATAAAATGTGCAGCCAAACCAAGAGCTGGATACAGCCAACCTTCATTGTTTCATTGAACCAAATGAAAACAATAATAAAAGAATTCAACCAGCCTGGGAGTCACAATGCTCACGTGTTTCAGTGGCAGGCCAAGCAACACGGTTTCAAGGGGGGAGGTGGCAGAGCTGCTTCTGCAGCTTGGCTGATGGAAACCCAAGAATTTCAGTGGCGACATCAATGGGTTCCATATCTTCAAGAGAAAGTGAAAGTCATGCTGTTCTCTGCACAATGGTAAAAGGTATTTACAACAAGAAAGGAGAAAGTTAATATTCCTGCTTTCTGGCAGAAGTCTAGACAGAGTCATGTCAGGGAAAAAAAAAAGAAAAATATTTATAAATGCATCAAAGATAAATTTAGATTTATGTCGCTGCTTCTTCTTCAGCTGTGTGAAAGCAAGTTATGTAAATCTAAAATGTACAACTTGGAAAAAGTACTGGGGAAAAAAAAAAGTAGCTACCATCTGCCTATTGATTCAGAAAAATCTAGATTATGTGCTCCTGTCCAAGAATCTGGTAATAAAAAGCTCAGTGTGGTATGACTTGATATTGCTTTGATCATGCTACATGCTATAGTTGAAGAAGAAAGACCCATGGGCAAATTCCCCTGCTGTGGGCAACAATTATGAAGAACATGATGGCATTTCACAGGAAAAGACCCATGAGAAATTACTGAAGGTGACAGTTTGTGATGAGTGATGCTCTTATGAGACCTATTGATCGACTATTAATAGAGTGTGCAGATACTTCCAGTGGTGTATTCCTTGAGTACTTTCCTATTATAAAACTATTAGTTATGTTCCTAACCATTTGTCACTTTTCTGTTTCACTCTATGATCCAAATATAAGTACAGATGATAGAAAAGTTGTAGAGATAAAAACCTTTACTTGGAAAGCACATCCACTTCATCTGAAGGTGGCAGTCTTAGTTTCTTCTTCAGTGGTAGGATGAAAATTGCAGCCTAGAATGAGCTTCTCTTTCTATCAATACCTCAGTCACATCCCAGTAAGCAGAGTTTAGAGCTTGCCTGACAAAGAAATGGGTCATGCTTCTTTGCTTGGTATTCTATTTTTTGTCAGAGAAGAATAGAAATATATTCTGCAAATAAGCTTTCAGGTAGACAGAAGGAGATGTGTGTACAGGGCAGTTGGTTTAAGGCTGTCAACCGTTTTCTACTTCACCAGTTTGAATTCAGATCATCAGCCTGACACATATTTATGGTTCCTTCTCTGAAATGCTGCCACAGTCAAAACACTGAGCTGTTATTGATACTGTAAAAAACTACACTGCCAGAACAGAAACTGAATCCTCTGCTTGACAGGTAGGAAGCCAAGACTCGTAAGATTTGAGACCCATCCCAGGTTACGCTAAAAAACTTGAGCAGATCCAGTAGCAGAACCAAGATCTCCTGGCTCTCAGGTCATCATGGCAGATGATTCCTCTCTGGTTCACAGCTGTGAAGTTTCACTGACAGCGGATCCTGGCTTTTAGCTCAGGTCATAGAGTGCAGAACGAGGGTGCCTGCAGTCAAGTCTGGACAAGAGCTCCCTTCAGCTGGGATCCACAAACCATTGCTTCATGGAAGACCATCACTAGACATGCTCCAACACCTGCTCACACAAGGACACGGTTACAAAGTCCTGCCTAGTTTGATTTCAGGGCTCCTGAGCAGAAGTTGCTTT